TCCAGGAATGTATCCATTTCTTCTAGATTTGATTCTTCTCTCTTTTCTCTTTATTAGTCTTGTTAGCGGTCTATCAATTTCGTTGATCTTTTCAAAAAACCAGCTCCTGGATTCATTGATTTTTTTTTGAAGTGTTTTGTGTGTGTGCGTGTGTGTGTGTGTGTGTGTGTGTGTGTGTGTGTGTCTCTATCTCCTTCAGTTCTGCTTTGGTCTTAGTTATTTCTTGTCTTCTGTTAGCTTTTGAATTTGTTTGCTCTTGCTCTCTAATTATTTTAATTGTGATGTTAGGGTGTCGATTTTAGACCTTTCCTGCTTTCTCTTGTAAGCATTTAGTGCTATAAATTTCCTTCTACACACTGCTTTGAATGTGTCCCAGAGATTCTGGTATGTTGTGTCTTTGTTTGCATTGGTTTCAAAGAACATCTTTATATCTGCATTTATGTAGACAACAGACACATGAAAAGATGCTTATCAGAGAAATGCAAATCAAAACCACGATGAGATACCATCTCTTGCTCGATAGAATGGCGATCATTAAAAAGTCAGGAAACAACAGATGCTGAAGAGGATGTGGGGAAATAGGAATGCTTTTACACTGTTGGTGGGAGTGTAAACTAGTTCAACCATTGTGGAAGACAGTGTGGTGATTCCTTAAGGATCTAGAACCAGAAATACCATTTTCCCCAGTGATCCCATTACTTGGTATATACCCAAAGGATTTTAAATCATGCAACTATAAAGACACATGCACATGTATGTTTACTGTGGCACTATTCACAATAGCAAAGACTTGGAACCAACCCAAATGTTCCATCAGTGTTAAACTGGATTACGAAAATGTGGCACATATACACCATGGCATACAATGCAGCCATAAAATAGGATGAGTTCATGTCCTGTGCAGGAACATGGATGAAGCTGGAAACCATCATTCTCAGCAAACTATCACAAGGACAGAAAACCAAACACTGCATGTTCTCACTCATAGGTGGGAACTGAACAGTGAGAACACTTGGGCACAGGGCGGGGAACATCACACACTGGGGCCTGTCGGGGTGTGGGGGGCTGGAGGAGGGATAACATTAGGAGAAATACCTAATGTAAATGATGAATTGATGGGTGCAGCAAACCACCAAGGCACATGTATACCTATGTAACAAACCTGCACGTTGTGCACATGTACCCTAGAACTTAAAGTATAATAATAATTAAAAAAATAGTTATCCATTTGTAGAGTGCTACTGATTTCTTTGGGATATTGTCCCCATAAAATTTCTGTAACATATCAGTGATTTCGCCATTCTTCCACACAAGCTTCTCCATAAATCTGATGTTTGATGTTTGTTCTTGCTTCAATTTTAGCACAATTGATGCTATCCTTAGTGCCTCAAACTAGATCCAGAAACAGAATTTTCAACATAGATTTCAGATCCAGATTTTAAAAACTGGAACAGCTTGCTTAATTTTCCCACAAAATCAGTCTTATTCTCAGTAATACATTGGGATATTTATCACTGAGATGTCCCGTTTCCTTCAGCAAAAGGTTTTTAATTTTTAAATTTTTTTTTAAATTTAAATTTTATTTTACTTTCCATTAAAGTACTCTACTACCAAGTTCCAACAGATGACTCAACTGGTTCTTTATAAACAAAAGACAACCCAACAAGAACACAGACTTACATTTTTCAAAGGAAGTAAGAATATATCTTCTTTCCTTGAAGAAGGATGGGGGCTGACAAAGATTCTTTGCTTGACTAAATTGTCATCAGGTTCATGAGCCTTCCTCTAGGCCCATCAGTGCACTTCCTTGTAAGAACTAGGTTTAACAAAGAACACTGCGAAATCAGTTTATTAACAAAGAACTCTGCTAAGTAAATTTAAAGAACTCCAATCCTTGACATATCTTATCAGGTTTCTAAACCTCCACCATCTCCCACGTCTGATCACCCTGGCCTGTATTCAGCAGTAATCCAGTCCGGTTGGCTTAGCAAGACTTCCCCTTTCTGCCAATACTTCCTTTTAGCAATTTCCATCCTCTGACCCCATCCAGCTTCTTGGCTGCAAACCCTCATTGATCCATGCTATGTTTACAGTTGAGCCCAGCCTCTCACTCCCACTGCAAGACTCCAAGACAGTGGTCCCTACAACTGTCGTGATAGTGTTGAATAAAGTCTGCCTTACCATGCTTCAAGCTAGGATTTGAAGGATGATTAGACACTTATCAGACACTTTGGTGATGGAGATGGCAGCTGGTGATAAGAAATAGATCCTTTATTAAAAGACAATGTTAACCAACCTAGGTGTACAGCAAAAAGTGAATTGATAAAGAAAATGTGACATAAATACAACATCAGAATAGTATTTTATTTTTTCTTAAAAGGAAATTTTTTCCTTTATGAAAACATAAATGATCCCAGAGAACATTGTGTTACATGAAGTAAGCCAGGCACAGAAAGACGAACACCTCATGATCTCACTTGTATGTGAAACCTACAAAAGTTGAACGCATCAAAGTAGAGGGTAAATGATGGTTACCAGGAGCTGGGGGGGGGGGTGTGGTTGGGGAGATGTTGGCCAAGTGAATATAAAATTTCAGTTAGTTACAAAAAATAAATTCAAGAGATTTATTGTACAATGTGGTGACAACAGTTAATTAATACTGTATTGTATTCTTGAAAAAATGCTAAGAGAGGAGTTTTAAATATTCTTACCACAAAAAATGATATGTGAGGTAACACCTATGTTAATTAGCTCAATTTAGCCGTTGTATACATATCCATAATATATACGTATTTCAAAAAACAACATACTGTACATAAGTATATACAATTTTATTTCTATTAAACATAATTTTTAAAAAGGATATAACTTAAAATATTAAACACAAATCAAGTAAAAACAATGAAACAAGAAAACATCAAAGGAATTAAAAATAGTACACTAGAAAAATTCTACTTAACCCACAAGAAATAATAAAACAAGACTAGAAGACTACAAAAGAATTAGACACACAGAAAGCGAATAGACTGTCACCTTGCAGCATATACAAAAATAAGTCAAATTAAATCATAGATCTAAATGTAAGCACCCAAACTATAAGCTTTTCAGAAGAAAACATGAGAGGAAATCTTCATGATTTGAGGTTAGCCAACAGTTTCTGGACACACTAAAATCAAAATCTATAAAAGAATGGTCATTGTTAAATTATACTTCATCAAAATTAAAAATACTGGTGCTTCTAAGGACCACATTGGAAAATTAAAAATAACACAATCTGATAGAAAATATTTGTAAAAATTATGTCTGATAGTGAACATTTATTCAGACTGTATAAATAACTTATAGAACTATATAATAAGATAATCAACAACCAATTCTAAAAATGGGTTAAATATTTAAGTAGGTATAAGCAAATGACTAATGAGCCTATGAAATGTTAATTACCATTAATCATTAGTAAAATGCAAATTAAAGCCACTGTGATAACTTCATATCCATAGAGAATGGCTATAATCAAATGATAGACTATAAAAAGTGTTGAAGACCATGTGGAGAAATTGAAACATGTATACATTGCTGGTGAGAATGTACAGCCACCTTGGAAAATGGTTTGGCAGTTTCTTATGAAGTTAGACATAAACTTACCATATATTGCAATAGTTCTACTACTCAAAAAAATTTAAAATATGTATTCTTACAGAATTGCATGCAAATATTCATAGAGATATTATTCATAAGAACCTAAAACTGAAAATATCCCTAATGTCCATACATTAATTAAAGGATAAACAAAGTGTTATTCAATAAAATCAGAAGGAACAAAAGCTTGATACAAGCTACATGGATAAACTTCAAAAAACATAATAAGTGAGAGAAGACAGACACAAAGACCACATATTATATAATTGTATTTACATTAAATGTCCTGAAATGTAGAGACAGCAGATTGTCATGTCTGATACTGGGGGTGGCAGTGGGAACTGGTTGGAATTGAGCATGAGGGATCTTTTTGGCACAATGGAAATGTGTTAAAATTGCACTGTGGTCATGGCTTCACAACTTTATTAATTTACTGAAAATTTTTGAGTTGTACATTTTAAGTAGGTGGCTTTTATACTGAGTAAGTTTTAATTCATTAAAGCTACAAAAATAATGATAGTTAATGTGAAGAACTGTTTTGAGGCATCACTGATACCAAATGTATGTAAAAGAATCAGGCATACTTCCTATCCTATAGTATATCTTGCAAAATTAGATTAACTATTAAGATAAGGCCCCCATTTTTAGATTGCAACAAATAATTAAAATTGAGTCTGAGAAAAAAAATCACCAATGGGCCAAACACAACACATAATAAAATAGGGTAGGAATTTCTTTTCTGTAAATCAGAGGTAGGGGTAAGGGTCAGTACGGATCCAAATATCTAAATAATCTAGTCAAAATATATGAGGCAGGTGACTTATTTAAAATATTTGTAGAAAGATTCAACCCACCTCTTTACACACTGTGTGCATACTTCCACACTTGAACAAAGATATTCCCTGTAGGGAATAAGATAATATAGCACCTGAGTATCCTGGAAAGCCACAGACCAGTGGTTCTCAAACTTTAGCATGCATTAGAGTTGCCCAGAATGGCTTGTTGAAGAGAGAGGGGGGGGGCAGTGTAGCCTTGGGAGGGGGGGGAGGGAGGAGAGGACATTGAACAATGAAGCTAAAAAAAAAAAATTGGGGGGGGGGGGGTAGCACTGGGGGAGCAGGAGGGGGGGGAGGGGGCTTGCAGTGAGCCAGATGCCCTGCACTCCACTGCAAAGGACTCCGTAAAAAAAAAAAAAAAGAAAAAAAGAAAGACAGATTGCTAAACCGTACCTATAGACTTTTTGTTTCAATAGGCCTGGGGTGGGGTAGTTCCCATAAATTTGCAAATTTTATTTTATTTTATTTTAATTATTTTTTTAAGACAGAGTCTCGCTCTATTGCCCAGGTTGGAGTGCAGTGGCACGATCTCGGTCACTCCAACCTCCACCTCCCAGGTTCAAGCGATTCTCCTGCCTCAGCCTCCTGAGTAGCTGGGACTACAGGCACATGCCACCTCATAAGTCCCCAGCTAATGCTGATGCTATTGGGTCCACGAAATACCACTGAGAAATTTACACGTAATATCAACATTACCCACAGTCCATGTTTATGGATTAATTGGTTTTATTTTAGAATTTAAATTAACAATCCATGTGCTTGAGCAAAGAGGAAAAACAAGTTTTAAACAATAAAGTATGGCCTTATTAGAGAAAGCATATACATTTTATTAGTAATGACAAGGAATTTAAAGTTTTATTAAAATAAATCTATGAGATTTTTGTTTCATTCAGTATATAATTGGTAATTATAATAAATTCCACCCACAAATGGAAAAGTGAATAGAAACACAATAAAGAAATACAATTCAATCAGCCGGTTAAAACAGAGACTTTTTTACACAGAATAATATTCAAATATTTTTGAAAATTACTTTGTCCTTTAAAGAGGAAACTCAATTTCAGACACTATAAGTGAGACTATATTTTCCTCTCTACATTATTGCATAGCTATTTGTAGGTCAGCCAGAAACATTTGCTCCCACTGTTTGTAGCTGTATCTACTTTGTCTATTAGCTCTAGTGATTTGAGAGCAGGGAAATGTCCGTGAATAGTATGATTATTATAAATGTTTATAATCTTGAATGATGAAGAGTATAATTTATGCTTAGAATAATCTCATTTTAGCGGATGGCAAATGTGCAAACAATAAATACTGCCTAGATGTTTATAATATTCAAAGTTGAAAAACCATATTGTTAAATATAAATTTGAATTTCTGGCATCACAATTATCTCCAGGTAAGGAGTATAATAAGAGTCTCTTCATAGTATTCTTGAGTACGTCTCTTTAACAAAGCTATTCAAATACAAAAAGATAAACACTTAAAATTGCTTTTTATGAATAATGGTGATTTTCTGTTCTCCAGTAGCCATATCTCTTCAGACTACCAGTGGGAGTTGGTAAATTGACATACAGAAACTGAATCCACATATTGGGAGGCCAGTTGTCCTCATCAATTCCCTTTATGGCCCCTGCAAAAATAGAAATAATAAAACATAATATACCAGAACTGTTTTCCAATTCAAACTGTTAAAGAAAGCTAAATATGGCATGAGAAGGACTCCGTTCTACCATATTTGAGTCCTTGTGGATGAACTGTAACCTAGCTTAATAGACAAGATTGAAAACCTAATTTAGGAATAGGTATCTGTAACAATACCTGAGTTTTGGGCAATCCCAACGGCCATGGTTCAACCATTCATAGACTGTTAGGTGTTGAAACTGTGTTCAAATAAGGCAAATGTCAACCTGTAACCAATCCACCTGTTTCTGTACCTCACTGCTGATTTCTGTACTTCATTTCCCTTTGTCTATAAATCTTCTTCCACCACGTGGCTGTGCTGGAGTCTCTGTGAATCTGCTGTGATTCTGGGGGCTGCCCAATTCACAGATCATTCATTTCTCAATTAAACTCCTTTAAATTTAGTTCGGATGAAGTTTTTCTTTTATCAAACCTTAGGTAATACTCATTAAAGAATCAAGAATGTACTTTGATTCAAAAGCTATTTTCTTGAAGAAGGCACTATATAAAGGTAAGATTGGGGGGTGAGGAACATGGGGAGATGTTGGTCAAAGGGAACAATCTTTAAGTATAAGATGGACACGTTCAGCGGATCTAATGAACAGCATAGGTAATTAATTTGATATGCGTCATTACACAAAGTATATCAAATCATCACATTGCATACCTTAAATCTATACAATCTCTATTTTTTCAATTAAATATTTCAAAATTAATTTAAATAAAGTTTTGATATGTGGTCCAAAAAAGGGGTCTTTATTTCCTTAACAAATTTTAGCTAATGACCAGAAAGAAGTTAAATATTGATGTACAATTATATCTCTGAACTCCATGTATCCTAAATATAACTTGCTATCAGAAAATAAACTATTGTATGACAGGGATAACAATCACTATTAAAAGCTCACAATAATGTGTTGCTTTCTTAGTGTCAGGAATTATGCTACATATTATATATATATATTATTTAATTCTTATATTCTTATAAAGTAGGGATGACAATCTGCATTTTATGGATGAGAAAACTGAGGCTTAAAAATGTTATAAAACTTGCCCATTGTTATGTAGATATAAAGTGTCAAACCAGGCTTAGAAACAGAATTGAAACTAGGTCATTTTTTATGAGCTTAAATGGATTGAAAAGGTTATCTAGATTAATTCTTTTATTTTATAAATAAAATAAGAAGTCACAATAGATAAGCCCCCAGCTAAAGACAGATTCAGGATTATAATATACTAATACACATTTCTCAAATTCTAACAAGAAATAAAAGTGTGAATTGGCTCCTTTACATTAAACTTTTCACTGTGCTGTCTTAACTATTACACTTTACAGACAGAGAGAGGAACAGGGTGGGGTGGGGGGGAGAAGAGAGAGAGAGATTTAACCCAAGATGTAACTTTCAGGCTATAGGTACTATAATAAATTAATTCATTGAATAGATACATGTCATGAATTGCTTAGGAAATGTTTTAGACACTAGGAATACAAATATGATTATAATTTGGACTCTGTCTCTCAGAATACCTCTCCCCTTAAGAAAACACAGGTAGCATAATAGGCCAAAGAAGGTTCTTTGGGACACATATGAGCAGAACTATAGTGGGTTGAATGGTAGCCCCTCAAAATATATGTCCATGTTCTAACCTTGTAACCTGCAATGTGACCTTATTTGGAAAAAGGATGTTTGCAGATGTAATGAAGTTTAGGATTTTGAGATGAGATCATCCTGAATTATCTGGCCCTAAATTAAATGGCAAACCCTTAAAAGTCATTATCAGAAGGAAGAGAAAGATAACACAGACCGGAGACATCACACACAGAGGAGAAGGCCCTGAAGAGTGGAGTGATACAGCCATAGGAGATTCCTGAGGCCACTAGAAGATGGAAGAAACAAGCAAGGCCCTCCCCATGGAGACTTCAGAGGGAGGCTTAACTGATGGAGCCTTAACTTTTGACCAACACCTTAACTTTTGACCATTGGCCCCCAGAAAATTGAGAAAATAAATTTCCGTTGTTTTAAGCCAGGAAGTTGTGATAATTTGATACGACAGCCCTAAAAACAAATATAGGAACATATATGGATTTTCCTAGCCCTAGAAGAAAAGGTGTTCTAAGCAACAATTTTTGAAATAGATCTGTCATTAAGCTTCCTCTAATGTGGCAGTGACCTAAATAGCAACAGATATTTATGCTAAATGTCTGTATCAAGGAAGTTTCCTACAATAAGCAATTAAGATTTAAAACTTTGGGTCTGGCGTTGTGGCTCATGCCTGTAATCCCAGCACTTTGGGAGGCGGAGGTGGGTGGATCACTTGAGGTCAGGAGTTCAAGACCAGCCTTGCCAACATGGTGAAATCCCGCCTCTACTAAAATTCAAAAATTAGCCAGGTGTGGTGGCAGGCACCTGTAATCCCAGCTACTTAGGAGGGAGGCATAAGAATCGCTTGAACCTGGGTGGAGAATGTTGCAGTGAGCCAAGATCATGCTACTGCACTCCAGCCTGGGCAACAGAGTGAGACTCCGTCTCAAAATAAATAAATAAATAAATAAATAAAAATAAAACAACTTTGAATTTAAGAAATGTACTAATTATCTTATTTATTAAATAAGAGGCTCTGAGTCTTGAAATACTAAAGTCTGTGACTATAAAACATGGTATATTTCTAAGATTTTCCCACTGTACTACATAATGGTTTAGTAATCTATTTAATGGTATTCAACAGCTCTTCCACATTTGGAACAAAATAATTAATTCTCACAAGTTTGAAAACATAAGGAAGTATTATTTATTAGAAGTTTAAACATTTAACAAGGGTGCAGCAGAAATAAAAGCACTATTTTCTTTATAAAACTGCACCTCACTGGGATGAAATATAATCTTTGGACCAAACTAGCACCATCATCATCCTACTCACCTTCATAATGTAATCATCATCCAAAAAGCCTGCATTTACTAAAATACTAGGTCATGAATGGTGTTAAATAAAAATACCAAAATACAAAAGTACTGTTTACTTGAAAGGAAAAAAGATGAAGGTTTAAAATGAACCCAAATGGATCATTTGTAAACATTTAAATACTAGGAATCAGAATCACTTATTTTCTGAATGAAAATTCAGGTTATGGAACTTGAAAAGTACATCCAGGCAAGTAACTTCACATCATAGATGAGGTCACTACTTCACAGAGAAGTGAATGACCCAATTTGCAGTCTATGGCAAAGGTGATGTCCGAAGTGTGATCTCAATTCTCTAGCCAATGCTATTTCCAAGATTCCTTCTTCACATGTTTATATCTAAAGAATGCATTACTGTCAATGTTACCAAGACAAGTGAAGGATTTTTTGTAGGCGCTGGATTAGTGAGAAGAAGAAGCTTGAGCTGGTCATTCTATTGTATGAACATCAATAAATTTCATATAATTATATTTCCCACACAAAGAGTAACCCAACTTAGATTTAATGATCACAAATTTTTTTTTGTTGGCTTAAAAAATATGTTGTCTGAATAAGTAATATATTCTAACAGGTGGCATTAAGATATTACTAGATTCCTACCTCTACCCATTGAAATCTTTTAGAAGATGCCTTACTCAAATGCCCCAGTCCTCTAATGCCCACCAGGATATTACGAGATTATTTATTTAAACTGAACAGCCTTTTCAAGTCGTACAGAGGCTTATAATTCTTTTATGCACTCTGGCAAAAGTAAAAGTTGCTATTCTAACAATAACCTTAACATTTAACCAAACTATACTTAAACTACACTTGTTAGAACATAAATATTACACTCATCCATAGACACGAGTAGGCTATTTTCCTCATGTAAGGCCAATTTACTAGAGCAGGTGGTAGGATGGACAGACTAAATTAAAAGAAATAAATTACTCTTCTTGTTCTACTTATGTGTGGTGTTGAAAACTGTCAAACTTAGAGAAGCAGAGGACAGAATGATGGTTGCCCGAGACTTGGGGTGAGGGTTGATGGAAATGAAGAATTGCTCCTAAATGGGTATAAAGTCTCTGTTTTACAAGATGCATTCGTTCTAGAGACCTGCTGTACAACATAGTACCTATAGATAACAACACAATATTGTACACTGTAATATATCTTAAAATGATAGATCTCATGTGTTCTTACAAAAACAGTGCATGGAAATATTTTGGAGCTGATGAATATATTTAGTATCTTGGTTGTGGTGATGGTATCACTGGTATATGCATATGACCTAATTCATCAAGATGTGTATGTTAAATGTGTACAATTTTATTTATTTATTTATTTATTTATTTATTTTGAGATGGAGTTTGGCTCTTGTCCCCCAGGCTGGAGTGCAATGGTACGATCTTGGCTCACTGCAACCTCCACCAGTTTCAAGGGATTATCCTGCCCCCATCCCCCAAGTAGCTGGGATTACAGGCACATGCCACAATGTCTGGCTAATTTTTGTATTTTTAGTAGAGACAAGGTTTCGCCACGTTGGCCAGGCTGGTCTCGAACTCCTGACCTCAAATGATCTGCCTTCCTTGACCTCCTAAAGTGCTAGGATTACAGGCCTGAGCCACCACGCCCGGCCAAATGTGTACAATTTTCGTATATCAGTTATACTTTAACAAAGCTAAAACAGAATAAATGCCTTTTTTTTCTTTTGGGTAAAGGGATGGTTTCTGGTAATAATTTGAAATAGAACGTGCAAACAGTTAAGTCTCATGTAACTAATACCATATTTTCTTCTCTCGTTATCTTTGCCAGTGAGTCGTTAGTCATGAGCTTGTGACATAATTTAGAAGATGAGGTGAAGGTGAAGTTTCCTATTGGGCTATGGAAAAGATTTCTTATTTCCTTGAAGAGGCACAGAGGAAAAAGCAGGTTCTTTTCTCCTTGGATATGGTTGTGTAAGACTGTGTTTCCTAGAATTGCAGCAGCTATCTTTGGTCCCTGATAAGAA